ATCCACTCCTGTTGGGAATTTTCTGGGTTTGTTTGTGGAATTGTTTTCTCATGGTGGAGATTTGTGTTTTTTTTTTTTTATTTTAGACTTATCAGAAGAAGTCTTTTTAAAGACTCTTCCTTTGAATTCCAACAGGCAACACAAGCAGCTACATGTACATGTCACACCTAAGTTCCCCAAATGTCCCTGGAAACAACCCGCCCCCTTGGGTCCCAGCAGACAAAGTAGTGTTCTCGCTTGTGCAGCTCTCTTTACCCTGAGGAAACACCATCCTGGAGAGTGAAAATGACCTGCCCTGCGGAGTGAGGCTGGTGAATTTCCTCATAAATCAGACGTCTCAGCCGGACAGCCCAGGGGACACTTGGAACCCACCACGGTATTTGTTTTGGCCCACATGTTGTTGCCACAAACAGTGCTTGAGGGAATTTTGATTTATTTGCCAACATGTAAAAACCAGGAGATTATACATAAAAGTCAAGATTTCTAACTTCCCTTAAAATTTTTAAAGTTTTAGAAACCCCACATCCTCACTCCCTCGTGTCAGCAGAAGCTAAGGTGCAGCGTAAAAGAGCCGAGTCCTGTCGTGGGCCCAGTCTGTACAGGGCACGCGCCCACCGTGCTGAGAGGGAGGGCAGGGGGTGTCGGTGCTGCTCGGTGACCAGGTCTGCGGAGTCACCTGGGAGGGCAGGACTATGACGCCAGCAACTCTCCGAGCTTTCTGGAGGCCACTCTCCGAGCTTTCTGGAGGCCACTCTCCGAGCTTTCTGGAGGCCACTCTAATTGCTCAGCCCGGACCACCGGCTGTGACTCTCACTGACCACGCTGATGGGGACACTTCGTCAGACAAACTTCTTTTTTCTTTAACTTTTTATTCATTTTTTAAAATTTTTTTTAATTTCAGGTTAATGTGAGGGTACGAATGACCAAATCACAGTATCCAGAGAGATTTCTAACCAACCTATGTCTTCTGAACTTGCGCCCAACTTCTCTTTCTATCTAGCGGGTAGTTCCCTAGAAACGGGAAAACAGGTGCCGAATGATTAGGAGGGTGGTGAAAGAAATCCTCCAGAACAACTTCCCTAGACATCCCAGCACCCCAGGGATCAGGCTTGCTTGAGAGAGTTTCCATATTCTTTCTGGGAATGATGAAATAAATCAAATAATATCTTCATAATTCCACACTGATTCTCTGAGTTTTCAGAAAGAAAACCCACACTGTCAGGCTCTTGCTGTAATCTGCCTGTGGCTGCCGGTAGCCTGCAGTTAGCTTTCATCCAGCTTTGGACACCCCCAGAAGCCAGTGATGACACGAAGATCTGAAGGGAAGTCATTTTATTTGGAAATGATCTCAAGATGAGTGGGGAGGGAAGAGGCATGAGCAGGTAGCCAGTAAAGGAGGGCGTGCCATGGGGTCGCTAACTTCTATGGGCAACTGGGGCCCAACCCTTCTACAAAACACCGGCTGACACTCCTGAAAAGGCTTCAGTTACCCTGATCAAAGAGAGCTGGGGTCCTACACGTACCTACCAGCGGCTGCACGTCATTGGCTGAAGAACCGCCCACTAACCCACTCCCAAGTCACCTGTCTTCGGGCTCCCGTCACCAGAGATCTGTCAGGTAGGTTCTGCCAGAAAGACAAGTAGCAAGGAAATCCGTCCTGGGCACCACCAGCTTCTGTTCCCCACATTCTTTCTTTACTTCTGCATTACCCACTAACCCACATCCCAATACCACCAACCAAGGAGTGCCATTTATTACTAAGCAGTAACCAGTGGCTTTCAGAATAGATCTAACTAATAAATAGACAACAACCCATGGACGGTCATTGGGACATAGACAAAGACCTTAAGACTGTTGAAATCCTTGAGGTTACAGAATAGAAACTGATGTTACTGCCCAGACAGGAAAGGGACCAAGGAGCTTCGAAGCTTGGGGGCAGCGTGTGTAAACTCTCCTTGCCACCTCCAGTTCCGCTGTGACCTCAGTGTCACTCCACCCTCCTTGAACTTCCCATTCCACCTTATCTGAATGTCCATGGTGGCCTTGACTCTGCAGGGGGCCTGCTGTGCCTGGACCTCACATGATAAATTACTTACTTCTAGGGATATGCAGCGGCCTTCTCTCACAGTGCTTTCCAGGACTTTCTGGGAATTAAAGTGAGCAGTGGGGACTGGGGAGCCCAGACTCGGTCGGCAGGATGCCCACATCAGAATCCCGTCTCTGTCATTTACGAGTTGTGTAACCCCGGGCAAGTCACCCATCTGGTTGTGCCTCAGCGTTTCATGTATAAAACAGGCTTAATAATAAGGCCTGTTTCTTTTGGCTGCTCTGAGGACTCAATGCTTTAATGCTTATAATGCACTTAGAATAGTTCCCAAGCCCAGTCATTGCTTTATACGCGTTTGTTAAATAAGCCTCAAGGGACGAGACTGTGACAGGCATTTAATATCCCCTCATGGTTAGTGCTGGGGGAAACACTGCACGCTTGGCGTCCTGCCTGGCCTCTGACATCACATCTCCTAGCAAGCTGGCCTGTCCTCTTTCTGCCCAGCCCAACACCATCAAGAATAAGCAGTGGTCTTGGAACCATCAGAAGTAAGTTGGGGAGTAAACCCTGCCATTGACCAGCTAAGAAAACCTACTTTCTCTGGAACTCTAGCCTACCTCATAAGAACCTGCAAACCATAAAATAAACTAATACCTACAGAAATAATCTGCTTCCTTTCTGGTGTCTGACCAGGTGAGCTCTGCTGGTGGCCTTCCCTCATTTCCATTCAAGGCCTGGCCCCTCCTCCGTTTTATCTCTTTCACTAAATCTAATTATTATTGTTTTCTTCTTACTATTCAAAGAATAGTTTATAAGTATGTACCAAAAATCAGAAAAAATGTAAAGCCAGGAGTAAATAAACATTTGTAAACCATGGTCAGTATCTTGGTCTTTAAAAGTAAGTATCTTTTCATGACATAAATATTGCTTGTAGCTGCTTTTTAAAAACATTATTGTAAAATCCTTCTATGTTAATACATTCTTTCTATGATGTGGTTTTTAAAATAGTATGCCATGTTTAATGTACCCAGCTTTTACAACCTGTCTCTAATAATGGGACATTTGTTTTTGTTTGTTTGTTTGTTTTTTCCTTATGTTTCTCTGGTTAAAAGTAACAAAGGCATAAGCAGTACCTGTAGCTCAGTGGGAAGGGCAGCAGCCACAAACACAGAGGGTGGCAGGTTTGAGCCCAGCCTGGGCCTGCTAAACAACAATGTCAACTGCAACCAAAAAATAGCCGGGCATTGTGGCGGGCACCTGTAGTCCCAGCTACTTGGGAGGCTGAGGCAGGAGAATCGCCTAAGCCCAAGAGGTGAAGGTTGCTGTGAGCTATGATGTCATAGCTCTCTACTACCAAGGGCAACAAAAAAAGAAAGAAAAGAAAAAAGGCATGAAAAATCCTTGCATAAATGTCTTTCATCAAAAATAATAATTACTTGGTTGGAAATTTAGAAGAGATTTTATAAGATCACATGAAATCTATAGTTTTACAGTGTTGATGTAGAATGCCAAATTACTTCTTAGAAATATTGTTTCGTTTCACAGTTTTCCTGTCAGTGTTTGAAAATGCATATTTCCCTCCCATCTTAACAATCATTTTCAAATAACAGTTTCCTAGCCATAAAATAAAATGTATGGATATAATTTATATTTATTAGCGTATTAATGAAATTGAATGTTTTTCTTATATTCATTGGATATTTTGATGTCTTCATGTGTGAATTTCCTATTTACCTATTTTGCTCGCTTTTTGCCCGTTTTGGGTCATACATTATTTTCTTATTCGAATACAAAGGCTTTTTACCTACAAAGGACGTTAACCTTTTGTAGGCCCATAAGTTTTTCCATTTGTTTGCTTGTATTTTAACGATTGTTGCACCATAGCATCATGCCAACAGGGGCCTTTCTTATCCTGATTTTAAATAGATACAGACTCATTTAATATTTTCCTTTTTTCCTTTTCTCCTCCCGACCTGTTTCAGGATTACCATGGACAGATGGCTGGAGACCCCAAACAACATATCTGGATATGGCCCTGGAATTACAGAAGCTGCCACCTCTGACCCTAGTCTGTCCAGCAAAACCTCTTTGTACCGTTCTGATGGACCGGGCAAATTTTGTGTCTGACATTTCAAGAAAGTAGGTGAATTCACAAGCTCCTTAATTCCTAAATCCAAAATGCTCTAAAATCGTACTTAGTCCATGTCCTTTTGGCCTGCATTCCCTGCCCTTAGCATCAGAAGAATTCATTATTCACTTTCAAATGCATTTCCGAGGCAGAGCTTGGGGAGCAACAGGACTGTGCATGGCCTTTCCAATGCTCACAGTTGCTAAGGAACTGGAACGTTAATTAATTAGCCCTAATAAGAGATTTCTTTCCATCATATCCGATTTTATTCTAAGGCAGCTGGAAATGCTCTATTGGGAATATAACTCATCCAAGAGAAGAGTCATGATTCAAAACCACGGAAGAAAACAGCCAAGCAGGTGGCCGCATTTGCTCTTTCACAGCGGAGAAGACTTTGGCTTAGCAGAAGCAGGAGGTCTTTGAGATAAGGTCCCATCTCTGTGACCACCTAGCGGTGACCTTGAGTGAGTCCATTTCTCAGGCTCCATTTCCTGAGATGCCAATATTAACACCTGTTATGGAATAGCTCCTGAACCACTGCTCTGGGCCAGGCACTTGGCATATATGAACACGCTCTGTCTTCACAGTAACCCATGAAGGAAGCACTATTTTTAATCCCCATTGTACAGCTGAGGAAACCAAGGCACAGAGGAACATAGGTAGAAATAGAGGAACAAGATACCATTTCAACAGCAGAGTCAATGAGCTTAACATTTCTGAGTGTAAAAACACCCAGAGGAGCATCTCCCGGGTGGGGACAGAGAAGCAAGTCCCTGACCGTCAGCCAGCCTCCTCCTGTCGCGACGGTGAGCACCTTCTCCCTACCTCGCACGGTGGCAAGCTCCCCGTCCTCGTGAGCCATGCGCTGCATGGCAGTGGCCCCGGCACAAATGGGCATGCTGACCCTCTGTCCTAGAACAGAAGTCGACAGGTCTATTTCAGCAACATTCCGGAGCATCCGTGGATACAGCTTCCATCTAGAAATTAAAAAAAAAAAAGCTTTAGAATTTCAAAAACATCATTAAAGCATTGACATTACGTTTTAGTTAAAAGGAAATATATATATATATATATATATATAAAAAATTGGGCTTTTATTTCCCATTAAGCAAATTATTTCATGAAGCTAAAGGAAGAGAGGCAATTTTAACGTTTGTTTAGATAGAAAGTTAACAATAAGATGGCAACCAACTTCCCAAGCCATTGATCTTGTTAAAGTATAATTAACACAGTAGAATTCGCCTATATGAGCATACAGGCTTGTAAATTTTGACCAACGTGTATGATGGTATAACTGCCAAGTAAAGATCTAAAAAGGTTCCATCATGCCTGTAATTCCAGCACCCTGGGAGGCCAAGGCGGGCAGATTGCTTCAGTTCAGGAGTTCAAGACCAGCCTGAACAAGAGCAAGACCCTTGTCTCTAAAGATAGCCCAGTGTTGTGGCAGGCATCTGTAGTCCCAGATATTCAAGGAGGCTGAGACAGGAATCACTTGAGTCCAAGAGTTTGAGGTTGCTGTGAGCTATGACGCCACACCACAGCACTCTACCAAGGGTGACAAAGTAAGACTCTGTCTAAAAAAAAAAAAAGAACAGTGCAGCACACAGCCTTCCGAGTCTGGCTTCTGTCATTTCACATAATTAACTCGAGACTCTCCCATGTTGTTGCATATGTCAGGCGTTTGTTTCTTTGGGGTGATGGATGGTATTCTGTCTTTTGTTTATCCATTCCCAGGCTAAAGTTCGTCTGGAATATTCCCAGTTTGGAATGATTATAAATAAAGCTACTCCAAACATTCCCGTGCAGGTGTTAGGGTGAGCAAAGTTTCCACTTCACTTCCCGAAAGCCACTTTGAAGACAGTATCCATGTAGAACGGGCAGTAGCTTCAGGCAATTACTTTCAAAATCATAATTTGTTTTCTTCAAAATACTTGCACTGTTTGTTGTATCCATTAAAGTTTTTGTAGTTGTAGTTTAATTGAATGTTTGCCTCCAAAACGGTTATTTGACAAAAACTGAAATTATTAGCTTAAAGAGCTTGTGACTCCCAAAAGTTATTTTAAATGACTTTTTTTCTGTGACTCCTTTGTGCTGGAATGAAAATTACCAATAAAACAGCAACCAAAAATGCACTAGTAAAATTTACAGGAGAACTAATTCCCTTTCCTCCCAGCAAAATTTATATCTCCTATTTCTTGGGGTTTCTTATTTTCCTCATTAGTCCTGATGAAAACGGAATAAAAGACACCCCTGACGTGCATTTGTGTAGCAAACGTGCTGTACAGACTCATATAACAGACCTAACCAGCACTCACCTTTCACTGCCTAGACTTCACTCTGCTTCCAGAGAGATCAAGATTTTTTTGTAAATATAGTGAAGTATGATTTAGTGATGGAATAACCCCCCAAATGTCCTTAATTGAAGCACACTTCCTGTAGCAGCAGCAGAAGAAATTCTGCCTTAATGTTGCTCCGTGGAGCAGCTCGGGGTCTGTAATCTAACCCTTCCTCACATAATAAAGTAAAAACATCCAGTCCCTGGAAAGCATAATAAAGAAGTTTTACTGTGTGATTTCTATGCTATTCCTTTGAACATCATAATTGTCATTATTTTATGTCACACACACATGCTCTGTTGCTGGAGGTCTTTTCTTCTCCACTGACCCTCACAGCATGATTCTTTGATCTCCATTTCGAAAGGAGAGAAGCAGAAGCCTTCAAGAGAGTTTTTATTACCAATCATCTCTAAGTGTGTTATTAGAATGAGAGAAAACAATTTTAATAGCAGCCATCGGCACGCCAGGCTTGCAAGGCATTAATATTTACTTAGAGCTGGAGAAACAATGAAAGCTTTTATGAAGAGAGCACACAAAGCTACAGAGGCCCCAGCTCTGCATGTGTGTCTGTGTGTGTGTGTGTGTGTGTGTGTGTGTGTATACACGCAGGGAACGAGACATTTTTAAATGTCACACTCCCATATACAAGGCAAGACTGTTATCTCCAGACAGTAATTTCACGTTTGTCCACGTGGTGGCGCAGTCACGTTAATAACTGTGAGTTCTTGCTTTCCCATAAATACCATTTTCTGTTCTGAGAATATTATAGATACTTGTCAATTAATGCACACAATTCAACTCCTGAGCAAAATTAGATAAAAATTATTGGTATTGGAAAACATGTTCTCTAAAGAGTCCTCCATATTTTGATATTTTTCAAATACAATAACTTTATCGGATAGTTCAATAGCAGCTTCCCAGTCCAAATTTAAGAAACATTCTCAAAATCGTACCTAAAATAATACCTCACTGTAACTTTGGACTGTGCTCTACGGGGGGCAGGGGGCTTCACTTTGGAAAAGGTGTATGAAGATTGGTAAACAGTTAAACCAATTGAATAACAAAACTCAAAAGTATCTTACAAAAACCCAGGTGGTAGGCATACACCCTCCCAGGTGGGTGCTCTGTGGAAGGAAGACAATCTCCTATCACTCAACTTCAAAAGTCTGTGCTGTTTTTGATTTGCCAACTGGACATAGTGAATTAAAGCTTTGCAAGTTTGTATCCTGTCCTGAAGTTACCAGAACACAGGTAGGATGATGATACTCAAGTACCATATTATTCACAGAAGACACTTTGCCAGTTCATAACTTAGAAGCCACCAAGCCTTCTATATCTCGCAAAGTTTCTAGAATTTCTAGGGCAGGCAGCCAGTCTTCTTCGTTGCACCCCTTTGCTCCAATCTGCTCCAAATTGCATTCCAATGTCTCTACATTAATTTTTTACTCTAAATATTTAAAAAATAAGGTGTAAAACACACCTGTTCCCCTGTCGTGGGTACTAGCTGGATGATTTTGTGACATTTATGCGTGTGAAGAGAATACTGAGAACATCTCTAATTTGTATTGCTTCTCAAATATTAAAGTGAGAGAATGCTATTGCTTTTGCCCATTGGTTATTTAAAAGAAAATGACATGATTTTTTGTGTTGATGGGTGATGTGGCAGAGAAGAGAAAAGCTTCCTTTTCTGAAATCAGAGTGGAGTCTAAATACCTAAATTATAGAGTTATGTTTCAGCAATAATTTCAGGGGAAAAAAGGCCACAAAACATATTTAGACCCAATTGAGAAAGCAGAGTTAATGTGTAAGAGAAACAAAATTTTGTTCCTTTGTAAAATTAGCCTCACTCAGGTCAGGCCTTGCAAAATGTAGTAAGCTGACATTTGCCCTGTTTTTCCCTATTTACAGAAAGAAATTTTGTTCTTCCAGATGGTTCCATTTATTTGTCTTTTTGTAATTTTTTTCCTTTTGCCACAACAATATTAAAGCCTTTAGTCTTACCCAAAAAAGTTTCCAAGAAATTGCTGGTTCACGTGAGTGGTGCATATCCCCAGAACATTAAAATGTGGTTGTGAGATCTGAGTACAGAGAGAGAAAAGTTGTCACTGTGAATGACCTTTTGCTGCACTTGTGGGAAGGAGAGGTGTATAAATTTCACAAACGTCTTTGAAATACCCTGACTTGTGCCACAATTGGTCAGCCGAGGTTTGGTTGTCCTGTATTTTTCATTTGGATCAGAATGAGAAATTTTAGGTTGATTTCCTTCACGCCAGCAGCCCAAAGCCAACACCACCCTGGCAGAAAGTCTCTTCTTAGTTGCATGTGACCAGCTAGATGACATGGGGTGAGGACCAAGGGTCAAATAGCAAGTTACACATCAGAAGAGGAGCTGAGATGTTAGGTAAGAGCTCCTCACATTTTGTTGCGATAAAACTTAGGTAGCTGATAATTTTTAAAAGTATCAGCTGTCTTCCAAAGAAAGTAGATTGATAGCCTTCTTTTTTTAAAAGCCAAACAAATGAGAAGGATCAAAGTTTGTGGAAAAGGTGGTATTGCAGACTTGTTATCTCTGTCCTGTCCCTGAGTTGCCCAGGACACACACAGGGTGGGAATCTTCACCCTGGTGCCTTACTGTTCACGTAGGCAGGAGGCACTTTGCCAGTTCACAGCCTGGAGGCCATCAAGCCCTCTATAGCTCACAAGCGTGTAGAATTTCTAGGGCACAAGGGTGGTCCACCTGCTTTGTTACACCTCATTGCTCCCTCCCTCTCTAAGACCCCCACTGGGTCAAGTGTTTTGGGTAATGTTTGCCTTAGGTCAGTTCAGGACCATTATGGAGGGCGGTGTGCACTCAGTGGAACGGAAGCTCCTGGGCACGAGAACTCTGTCTGGCCCCCTCCTATGTCCTCAGCGTGGAGTACAGAGTCTAGCCCATGAGACTCCCAATCTGCCTGAGTTAGTGAACTCTCATAGGGTTGAGAAAGGCTGCATATAAATGAAACAGGCAGTCACCTGAGCACTGTGACCTGGGCAATGCCAGGACACCAGCCCCAGAAATCTATCAAGAGTCTTTGGTTAAAATGATCTATCGAGGTTAAGGTTCTGTTCTCAGGAAACCAGTCCTAGGCAAACCTCCTTACGAGGTGATAGAACTAAAATTGACCAAGAACGGGCATCTCCCAAGAGCAGAAACTTAAATGAGCCCAAAATGTCACAATGATTGGAAAAGATCATGCAGCACCTTCCGCCCCGCGCCTCCCAGCCAGCTGTCTCTTCCCAGGATTTCCCCAGCATGTCTTGAGCTCCTTTGAGTTCCAGGCAAAACCTCAGACAAAGTCAGGTCTTGAAGGGGCAGGGAGAGCCCCTGCCCTTCACCCTGTCACTGGTAGGCCTCTCCTCCACGCTGTGGGTGAGTCGGCCCTGGCTACGAAGGCCTACCTTAGTCAGAGCAATTGATTTCATTCCGAATTTACATATAGAAAAATGATTTGTGAGTAATTTTCTTGTAAAGAAGAAATCAGGAAGGAAAGCCAATTCTATCCCCCTGGATAGCCTCTGCCTTTCTAAAATTGATCACCATCAATGAATACCCACGCTATCCACGGCCTCTGCTCAAGGCGACAATGTTAGATGGATGATACTGAGAGAGGCCAGGGCAGTGAAGACGCTTCTCTCCTACTCCGGAAAATAAACCATTTGTGTAACTGCTGAAAGAAAAACATCCCTTTAAAGTTATTTTATTTCTTGTTTTTATTGCAAACAGAAAACATAAACCACGACACCCACCATCTTGTGCTTTGAAGTATGAAAGTCAAGGGAAAAGTAATTTAGGAAGAGAAATGAAGCCCTTTGGAGGAGAGAGGAAACAGCAAGGTTGAAAGATTAATGCTGCAGAGAGAAATTGAAATCTAACGTGAAAGCTTAGACAACAGTAATCAAAATGAATGATAACACAGAAAACCAGCAGGATCGGGAACATGGAAGCAACAGTCCAATCTGGTTCAACCAGATAAGATGGTTATCTTGCATTTAATGCCATTCCAACACCATGAGCGTAAGCACCACTGTCAGACTCAGAGAAAAAGGAAATGGAGTCATTGGCATTTATCGCTTTTTTTCTATATGGAGTTGAATTAATTATCATCCATCACACCTCTAAGTCAGGTACCATAAGGTTGAATTTTACAATCACTTGGTTAAGATTCCCAGGTTGGAATATTTTTAAATAACTTAAAAATCCAAGATTTCTCACAGTCCAAGGAATGTTCCCCCTCTCCCACAAGCACAAAGATAGATCATTCCAAGTCATCATCAGTGCAAAACTAAATCTTATTTTGGTACAATATCTTTGTGTAATTTTGAAACATAATTTAAAAATCGATTTTCTTACCTGGAAAATGCCGCAATATTATCAGCCAGAGTTTCCTGGTCATTTGCCCCAGACCTATAGTAGTCGTATATAGATTTTTGAAGTGTGGACTTAGCATACTGTTCATAATCATTGATGCATAGTAGCCGGGGGAACATTGCCACGGTTTATGGCAAGCCCAGATGTCCTTTGGGCTACTTTTCTTCGTGTATTGCCTTCTATGCCCTGACCATTCCGTTATTTGTCAATTATTAATAGACTTTTGCCAAAGTTCAGATTTTGTTCTCTGTTGCTTATATCAACTGAGCAACCATGAGATGCTTGGATTTTTACGTTTCATTTGCAGGCTGTCTACAAATGGCCCTTAAGTCATAAGAAGTTGGGCTTGGGGAGACAGGAGATGGGAGTTAGGCACCTGTGATATTTAAAAAGCAGAGGA